CCTCCTGGCCCCTCTGCTCCTCTGCCTGGGGGAGATGTCCTCTCTGACCCTGTGGCCAGGAGCTTCCTGAGCCAGGGAGACAGTCTACTCTCACACCTCAGAGCTGTAGAAGGTCCTCTAATAACAGAGGTGTTTAGTTGCATTTGTTGTAAGGTTGTCCAAAACCTTGTTGAAGGAGACAATGTGAATTGACAACCTGCTTTCCTTAAAAGGGGGTTTGCCTCAAGCCATAGTTTCCAAGAACCCCAGGGACAAAAAGCACCTAACTGCACTCACTCTGCTGCCCCCAGCAGCTGTGTGCACTTGTTGACTGCTGGGCTTGTGTCTGGCCTTAGAGCAGGAGCTCCTCAGGGAGCTGCTCCTGCATCTGACCTGGCTCTTTGCATTGTGTGGGGAACACACATTTGCCCAATAAATGAGACCATAAACGAGTCATGTTAACCATGCTAACAGCCAGAACACATTTGGGCCAGGCCCTGTTCTAGGAACTGTAGCGAGGCCAGGCCATTGCTCCTCAGCCACTGCCTGGGCTGACGCTGTTGTCCAGTGTGCGGTGACAGGCCCTGGCTTCTGTGGTTGGTTGTGGGACCCTGTGGTGAATGGAGCTGCTGTTTAGCTCTGCACTACTACAGGGAAAGTGGATTTATCTGAGGGCCTGAGGAGGACAGGCACTTCCCACCCCTCTTCCTCCTTTGCCAGTTGCTGGACCCAGGTTTCTTCAAAATAGTTCATTGGAACCAAGGAAATTGACTGTGGCCTGTGCATCCTGGAGCTTAAAGCCCCCTCCTGAGGACCTGGAATTAATTCTGGAAAGCTCCCAGGAGCTGGAATCACTGGGGGTGGAGCTGTGCTGGGTGAAACGTTTCTTGTAAGTAGGTCACAGGGAAGAAAGTGAAGCCCCGAAGGCTTCTTCCTGCAAGGTGTCAGAAGAAACGCCCAGCTTGTGGGGGCACCAGCTCCAAGAGTGTGTGCTGTGAGCTCTGTCTGGAGCAGGTGATTTTATTCCCCTCTCCTGGCTTGTGCACATGGGACTCCCAGGCTCCCCAGATGGATGGGAATTATTTTCCTGGCCAGCGGAGCTGTCTTTGCAACTATCCCCTGAACTTTTACTGGATGCTGAGTTCTGCTCTGAAGCTTTATGCATTCCCTTACTCATCCTGGCAATGCCCGTAGGTGGGTTTATTGCGCATCTTAGTGGTTTTTGGTAATAAATTTGGTTTCTGTGATAACCTTACTGGGAAAGTTTGGGAGCACATGCTGAGGACCAGGAACAAAATACTAGTTAGGACTTAGGAGATACAGTCATTTTTTTTTTCTGCAGGGGCTTGAGGTCTTGCACTCCCTCACAGGAATTTCAAGAAAGGATAGTTGATTAGTGTTGCTTAAGTGCATTGCAATTAATTGCTCTCTGGTTTTTCTTGCACTCTAGGGCTTAGGTTAACCTACAAATCTCAGTCCCAGGTTAGTTATAAGATCTTGATTTATCTCCCAGTAAAGGTGTGCTAACACACTATTTGGCTTGAATTATTTAAAGTTATCATGAAAAAGGTCTTATTTCTACTGCTTGCCCTGATTTGCACTTAAAGTATAGTTCCCTGTAGCAATTCACCGGAATTCATGTTGAAAATAGAAAAGGGAAAATTACTTTTAAACAGCAGTTTGGCATAAAAGAGCATGATTTACCTTGGAATTTTTTCCAACTGTACATTAAGGCCAAGGTTTCTAGAATATTTTAACCCTACTGATTCTGGAAATTAGTATGAAACCTAAACAGTAAACACTGAACCCCAAGTGGTTTCTTCCTCTGGTTTGGGGGAATTCATTTTCCCTCTCTCCATCCTTCTCTCAGGGGGTAGTAAACTCCTGCTGTGTGCATTTGTTAAGATTGTTGAAAGTGATTGGTAATTTCTTATCTCATTCCCTAATTTTTCTCGCTTTTCTTCTCTATCTGTATCATTTTCTTCTCTATCTGTATCATTTTCTCCTCATTTCCAGGAACTATAAAAGCCAGAATGTTGTTGGTAGGAATTTTGCAAATGATTTTATTCTTTTAAGATTGAATTTATCAGTGGCATAGCATTTTCTGTGCCTTCATGCACATTTAGTCCTTTGATGATTTGTTTTTTTTAGATTATAGAAATATAAAGATAAAACCAACCTGTATTTTTTTTTTATATTCACCTGGTGGGACTTACATTGTCATATGAAATAACTCTGATAGCATTTCTTTTATTATTGCTTTAAGTATTGTATAGTTTATTTTTGTCACAGGAAAAAAGGAAGTTTTAATTTCATAGAAGAATGAAGGGGAGAGTGACTTTTTTTAAAGGGATATTTTGACTCTAGGTCTGTGTATAATTGGAAAGAACTAAACTCTTATCTCTACTCAGAAACCTTTGTCTGAATGAAGATGCAATGATATCTTGATTAGGATAAGTTGAATTTGTGAAGTTCAATTGAATTTTGGGAATCTTTCCTCTATAAAGTCACTACTTTAAACAATAACATGTCGAATAATACTAGCTGCTTATTTATGAAGAAATGAGATAGATTAGTGATTTCTGAACTAGTAGCTAGTAAAGACACCTTTTCTTCTGTATTGAGTGGACATTCTGAAGATCCAGGGAGTTCTGTGATATGCTCTTCTTCTGTTTTTAAAAATTATTATTTTTAATTTGGCCCTCCCTGGTGGCGCAGCGGGTTAAAGCACAGCACTGAGAAGCTAAAGCCACTTCCGCATGAGTTCGATTCCCGCCTGCCCCCGGGGTGACCACATGGTGCAGCAGACCTTTCCTGCTCCCCTCAGCAGTGTACTTCGTTGATCTGCCTGTTCTGCTCCCCGCTCTGTCTCTGGTGAATCCTCTCACTCTCCACATCTCTGGCCTGTACCCCAGTTCTGTATGAATAAATCAATAAATCTTTAAAAAAATTATTTTTAATTTATTTATGCGTACAAGTACTGGGGTATAGGCCAGAGATATGTGTGTTGGGGGTGAGTGGATTCACCAGGGACAGAGTGGAGAGCAGAAGAGGCAGATGGACTGAAATACACTGCTGAGGTGAGACAGGAGAGGTCTGCTGCGCCATGTGGGTCAGCTCTCTGGCCGGGAATGGAACTCATGCCACAGTGGCTGGCCATAGCTCGATAGGGCTGAGACTGTAACCTCTGTGCCACCAGGGAGACCTTGCTCTTCTTTTTCACATAGCCATCTGACATTGCAAAAAAAAAAAAAAAAATGCGCTAAAATAATTTCATCTCATCTGTCTTTTTGAGGAGTTCAAACCTGCTAGCTTGGAGTGAAATAAATGAAACCAAAAAATTAAGTACAATTAAATCCCATTTGGAGGTTCAAGTGCTCCTTTTTTTCATAGAACTTAGTGAATGATTTGAGTTTTGTGTTTGGGTATAAAAAGTGAGAAAGTAGAGCTGATTTCTAAGGAAAATAAATTAAGGGTGGCGGTCACTGAACTCCTCCAGTCTACTGGGTGGGCAGTGTCAGCTGTAGGGAGGGGACAAGCCTTCAATGACCGTTCACCTCATAGACATCGTGAAGACATTCATTCATTCTTCGATTCATTCACCCGGTGAATATTTTATGAGTTCTCTCTGTGTGTTGGCAAGATGCTAGGTTCCAGGACCAACAGTACATAAAAGCTCATTGCCTGCCCTCAGAGAGCTTGCCTAATCTATAAGATAAGCAGTAAACAAATTAGTACATAGTATGTCAGTGGTGGTAAGTACTCTGGAGGAGAATAAAGCAGAGTGAGGGGGTATGGGTGGGAAGGAGTGGGAGATTTACTATTTCTTATGGTAAATGTGGTCTTAGGAGGCCTCGCCTCACATAATGTCTGCTGTTATCTAAATTCCACACATAGAGGTTCATTTGACTTACATTTCAATTTCACCTACCCTTTTGAAATGTCATTCTGGAAATGGAAATGATTAAACTGTGTTAGTCATTTGCTTCTTAGTGTGAGTATGCTTTAGAGTTTTTTCCTTTGAGCAAATGTTAGTGGAGAGAGACTCTGAGGCTGACGCTGTCTGGGGGTGGGGTGGCAGCAGAGGTGTCCAGCGGGTGAGATTGTCTCTTGCCTCTGGGAAGGTTCTCCCCTCTACCGAGAGAGCTCTGCCACTGAAGCCCCTTATACTACACTGCTGATCCATGGAATTGCCTAACCCTTTGAATACATTTTTGCTGTCTGGCTTTGCCCATTTACTCCTGGGAAATGCTAATTAAAGAAAGCAAACTATGAAATGCTCTTCTCTTAACTCCTCAGGACAACACATACTGTAAAATTAAAGGTATTATTTTTTTGTCTGGTTAACCTTCCTGGCTGTTTGGTTTATCAGTTGGCCTTATATTTTCAGTGTTACTGTTATACTATTGTTGTTAATGTAGAACTTTACATGTATACCTAGGGATCTTTTTCTGTTTTTACGAACTCTGACTCAAAACATTAAATCATCCTGCACTGTCCTGGCCCCATTGCTGTAGTAGGTTCTGGTACTTCTCCCCTGCCTGTCCATAGCACCACATGCTAACCCTGTAACTCCTGAAACAAAGCTGGCTCCAAATTTAGCTCTGTTACCAGCCAGACTCTGGCAAGCACTGTGAGAGTGGGAATGTATACATCATTCTTCTGTATTCTCAAGAATGCTCTTTTGCTTACGAGATTCTTTCTAAGAAGTCATACACATGTTTTTTTGTGCTTTATTTCTGTAGATACAAATGTGTACACAGATGTACTCTCTTTGAGGTAGTATTTCTCTAGCTTGGTCGCCTAAGCATGTTGACTTCACACTGGTGAATAATTTTAGTTCTGGAGATGAAGACCGTCAGCAGTGCTGTTTGCAGTTTGCAGCAATGCAGCTGCTTAAAAATGAGCAAAATCCATCTTGTGGAAGTATCCTTTCCCCCCTCATTTTAAGCAGAATTGTTGAATTGTGAGAATGAACCTTAATTGCTAATTTTAATGTAAAAATGTTTCCTTTTTTCTAGCTTTTGCTTTGGTTTCTGAAGATCTAAAGAAAGAGGTCAAGCAGTCTAAGGTACTAATTTCTATGATCATATCTGCTATGATTTTTTTAGTGAAACTGATGATTTCATCTTTCAGTAGTTAACAAATTTCTCTTTTTAATGAATTAGTGATCAATGTAGATGTTGAATCCCTAATAGCAACCAAAGACAGACTTATTTTACAAAAGTTAGTTTGCATAATTTTAAAGTTAAAGCAGAGCCTCTAGGTTTTGTTTTAAGTATATGGTGTTTTGATATGTATGGAGTTAGACATTTTCTTTAAGATTTTTTTTATTATTATTTATGCATATAGAGCTGGGGTACAGGCCAGAGGTGTAGGGGCAGTGGGAGGATTCACCAGAGACAGTGTGGGGAGCAGAACAGGCAGATGGATGAAGTACACTGCTGAGGGAGCAGTGGGCGGGTCAGGAGAGATCTGCTGCGCCATGTGGGTCAGCTCCCGAGCCAGGGATCAAACTCACACTGAAGCGGCAGTGGCTTGCCTGCAGTGCTGTGTCCTAACCAGCACCACCAGGGAGGACCCAGAGTTAGACATTTTTAAAAGCCTTGCTTAGATGTGATGGTTCTCTCTAGTCTTTGCCCATCTTAATGTTGGGCTTATTTCTCCAGTCTGTGAAAGAAGCTTTATGCTGTCTCCAGGCTTCAAAAGCCTCCATACCCCTCACCTTGCAGGTGATACAGTGTGAAAGAGCATGCTGGAGACTTGTCAGAGACCTCCAAAGATGATTCCCAGACTCCTTGCATGGTGAGAACCAGAAACCAAGATCTGGGAACCCATGGGGAATCTCAGCAGTTACTCATATTTCAGTTGCTTCTTTGCTCCTTGTTGTTTACATGCAAGATCCTCATTTAAATTTGACCATTTGGGCTTTGCACTAGGTCATTTTAGCATATGAGAAAGAGAAACAATATTTTAAAAAGAAGAGTTATTTTTGTCATATTAATTATGGCTCAGTTGACTTTTATTTTGTATCCCACATTAAACATAGTAGTATTTTTTTTTTAAGATTTAGTGTATTTATTTATGCATATAAGAACTGGGGTACAAGCCAGATGTGGTGGGGGGGAGGGTAAGAGGATTCACCAGAGACAGAGTGGGAAGCAGAAGAGGCAGGTTGACTGAAATACACTGCTGAGGGGAGCAGCTGGTGGGTCAGGAGAGGTCTGCCTTGCCATGTGGGTCACCTCCCTCTCTGGGGATGGAAATTGTGTTGTAGAGGCTGCCTATAGCTTAACAGCCTTGAGACTTAACCCCTGCACCACCAGGGAGGCCTATAGTAGTATTTCTTAATAAAGCATTTTTAGGCATTTTGTTGAATTTCAATAATCCTGCTATTGTTAATCAGAACATGTATTTCCATGTATAGCAGAGAAAATTTACCCTCAGAAAACTTAAGTGATTTGACTAAAAACTCATATGACTATTAAAAGGTGAAATCAGAATTTAAATTTTTTGTAACCTTTAATTTTTCACACCATAATTTTATGTTACACAGCACTTGCAGTAATATCTGAGAGTGTGTATATGTGTATGAGTGTGTATGGGAGGTGGTAAGGAGAGCAGTAATGATGCTAAATTAAAATGATTGTAACAAGGAATTACAGTTTTCTGTAATGAATTTAGAAATTATAGCATGCATTTCTAAATATAGATTTTAACTAATCTTTTCAAATGAGGACTATATATATCTTTTGCCTTAAACACATATAATGCAGAGATAAGGTAAGTCCTATATCTTTGTGTCATTTTTGTGAAAAGGCTTTAAAGTCCTTAAAAAATGTCATTAAGCTCATCTGTACTGAGGCTATAAAACCACAAAACGCAGTGATTGAATGTCTACTGGACACTATACCTGAGGGAGAGGACAGGAGAGAATCGGTTTATCTAAGGTTCTCCATAGCCTTTCGATGTATCCAGCGATAAGATTTAAGGCTCTTAACAATAACCACCACATTTGAGATTTTTATGAGTTTAACATCCTGGTGAGCTGATCAGGGTCTGCCCAGCCCTTGCTGCTCAGAGGAACACCATCTGCCTCATGCTCTCACCGCTGGCTTTACTCAGGGGTCCCCAGGGGTCTGTTGGAAGGAGGACCATTCCTACTCAGGGCTACAGTCCTACCCCACAGTGTTCAGGTTGGCATCAGGTGGCTTCACGTCAGATCCTGAGTGCTGCCTGAGCCCGGCCCTACTGCTCGGGTCTGACCTCTGGCCCCAGGCTCCTCTCCTGGATGTCTGTTTCAATACTGCCACTGATTCTGACCTTCTCCAGCTTTCAGGGGAGCTTGTCTGCTCCAGGCACATACCTGTCTTCAGCTGGTAGTGTTGTCTACTCTTAGGCCCCGTGGGGGTTCGTGGCATTGTGTCCTACACATTGTCGAGCCAGAGCTGGACACTGGTGCCCAACTGCTGATTCACATCCTTTTTCCACTACAGTGATCTGCTGTGGGGGTTACTGAACCTCATAGGGCTTATCTGTAACACAGGAAAACAAGACGTGTGTATCCATCACTTACAATTGTGTCAGGCCATATTTAAATGTTTACCTAATATGATTGTAAGAAGTTGATTATGCAGCCTTTCTACGGCTATGGTTCATGTAAGTAGAAAGAGAAACTAGACCTTACGGTTTTTATCAGTTAATTTTTTTATATGGTGGTAGTTGACTTATTATGAAATAAATGATAATAGTGATGCCATGGACAAATAATTTGAGCAGAAATTTTCTTCTGCCACCCTAGGTTCTTTTCAGGCTGGTTGAGTAATCAAATTAACATTGACAGATTCAAATTAACATTGACAAATTTAATTACAAACATAGAGAATATACTTGGATATAGCCAATGGGGCAAACCAAGGCTATATGTGCTAGAGGCCTGGGGTTTCAAGGAGAGAGGAGGGACTCACGTGACAATCCAGATGCTGTTTGCTCTGAAATATAAAGAGGTTTTTCTGATAGAGAGGTAATACAGCTAAAACCCTAATTCTGGGTAGTACTCTTAATTTCAGTCTTCTGGGTAATTAAGGGAATGGTAAAAGTTTCTCAAAAGGGCTTCATCTGACTTCAGTTTGAAATAATACACGTGTCAATGTGACATGTCTTAGGGGGCCTGTGTGAACATCGCCTGTGTGAACATCTTGGGGAGACCTATTCTTCGTTAGCTTTATATTGGGCTCTCAGAAAAGTTGACGCTTTTTTCTTGATAAAATACAGAAAAAAATAAGTCATGAATTTTCCAAGATCTCTGTGAAATGAAATAAGTTTTAGAGTTGTTTATCCTATTTCAGAGATAAGGAACTGAGATCTGCACCTGATATGTGGTAGAGGCAAAATTAGAACACAGGACCAGCTCATAACCATGTGCATTAATGAACACTTCATGATTAATTAATTTTACTCAAAATCCAGGAGGTGGTAGTATTTGTTTGTTGGTAGGTAGAAGATACCATTTTACTTTTCTCTCTTTTTTAAGAGATTTCCTAACATATTCTTTCAAGGATAGTTTATATTAGTTTAATAAAGAATCTATGGCTTGCAAGTGTTCAAATCTATTGTGCTTAAAAAATAAAACCTATCCTAGGCCCTCCCTGGTGGCGCAGCGGGTTAAAGCACCACACTAAGAAGCTAAAAGCCGCTTCTGCATGAGTTCGATTCCCGCCTGCCTCGGAGGCGTGGCAGACCTCTCCTGACCCGCCCGCTGCTCCCCTCAGCAGTGTACTTCGTCGGTCCGTCGATCTGCCTGTTCTGCTCCCCACTCTGTCTCTGGTGAAGTTTCTCGCTGCCCCTGAGCCTCTGGACTGTACCCCAGTTCTGTATGCACAAATAATCTTTTAAAAAATAAATAAAATAAAACCTATCCGAAAGGGAACTTGGATTTGTTATTTCCTACGTAGGGAGGAACTGTCTGTGGGGTAGATGCCTTAGGAGCAAATCCCTTTCCTCTCTGAATAGCAATTCAGTTGACTTATACAAACCTTGACAGTGAGCACATTTTGATTGATATTGATAGTCAATGTAAGAAACATGCAGCAGCAGAGATAATAAAACAAACCATGTGTTTCTTCTTTGGAAGAACTAAGCCTTTTCAAAAAAGAAACTGGAGACAGAATTTTAAATGTTCTTTCTGTCAATTCATTCATTTAGTATAATTTTCTTTCTCAAAGGGGAAATTACTTAAGACCATTTTGATTTCGATTCAGTTCACCCAATTCAGCCATTCCTTGAGTATTTTATTTTTATAGTTTACAAATTGAGCCATTTGAAATGGCTAATTCTGTTGTGTCAGCCAGTCGGAGCTGAAGTGCTTAATAACAAATAGAAAGATGCATAATTTTTGGCTGTTTTTCTTTGGTTTTAAAGCTACCTGGTAGCAAGTTCAGTTGCTATTACAACTTGCTTAAATTTTACTCAGTCTGAAAACATTGAGTCAGGTTTTGCTTTTCAGTTTGTTGATGAAAGTGACTTATCCTGTAGGTATCACTTGTAGTTTACCTTCAAATTATGTTCACATCTCCTGCTGCAGGTTTTTTGAAGACTGCCTTTGGAGAAAGACTGGGCAGGGAGGGGTTCTCATAGGACTTTGGAGGGCACATTGGAAAGGAGTAAAATGGCAGGGTGTAGCTCTTGTTCTGAAGCCAATGACTGGAATGAATGACTACTGGACATTGAACCTCCATTGTCTCATCTGTTATATTGGATCATCTTCAGTGCTGTTCAGTTTTGTTTTTTTTTTTTTTTTT